GGCATTCCTTTATTCTTATACGTGTCATTCGTCGTTTTTTTCCTATTCCTACTCTTATTCCTGCGTTTATTTTTATTTTTGCCTTTTGGAACCTTCTGGTTATCTTTGTCAGGTATGTGGGATCACCATCTTTTTTGGGGTGGGCGTGGCGGGGTTGGCAGGTCGGTTATTTTCGTATAACCCCAGGCCACAATACAGACTGACAAGACGCGAGGGCCAACCGCGCTCGAGCATGGGCACGGAAAAGCGTGGGGAGTCCGCGAATGAGCACGAATGCATGAGAAACATGGCCAGCTATCGAGCTCAACCACTCGTCCGATTGATCCGATCTTTGTGTATTCCAGCTTCAATTCTCAACAAATGCTATGGCATGGCGAACCGCAAAGGGACAAATTCAAGGAAAAATGTCGGAAATAAAAATCCCCGAAAACAGTCTGGTATCCCAATGGGACAAAAAAAAGGAAGAGAAATATCGGGAATTGACCCTTGCGTAACACCGCCTGCTCCCGGAAGAACCCAACTCGCGCCTATCCTGCGCCAACGCAAAAGTAATTCCCAGCTCCCAAAGCCTTTATGTAATGGCCAGGGCGGAGAAGTGTGGCTGACTCCTCGGCACCTGTGGATGGGGCGGCGATAAATGGGTGGATGTGGAGACTTCGTCGCTGGCGGTATTCGTGTTTCTTCGTCATTGACGGTAGTGGACGATGTGATGGTGACTTCGTCGCTGACGGTATTCGTGTTTCTTCGTCGTTGACGGTATTCGCCTCGTCCTTATATGCGGAGGAGAGCTGGCCGGACCGGAGCAGCCGCCCTCGCAGCCTGGAATCGGCGCCGGGGCTCGTTCTCGGAGCGCACCGGGTCTCCGCCCGCGTCGCCGTAGACCCCGCGGTCCCTGTAGGCGGCATCCATGAAGTCGTCAAACAGGACGACCTCGGCGCCCGCCTCCATGTCGCCGGTGCGCATGTCGAGGTTCTCCCGGTTCCGCTCGATCACGTCGAACCCGAGCCTGGTGCCCTCCCGCATGCTGCCCAGCGTCTCGCCCCTCCGGCCCGCCCCCTCGAGGTCCCGCCTCACGTACCCGACCAGGCCCCTGTTAGTGTCGGGCAGCTGCGCGAGCAGCTGCGTGGCCGTGGTCTCGGGCCGCAGCAGGGCCCCGGGCTGGCGGCGCCGCGGGGGAGTGTCGAGCTGGCGGCGCCTCGGGGCGCACTCGCGGGACCGCGGCACGTTGGCGCTCGGCATACGGATCTCCTCGAGCGCCGTGCGGCCCGCGGTGTTGGCCATGTCCCGCGTCGCCTCGGCGTCGTCCAGCATGATGTGCCACCGCTGCTCCATGCCGGTCGGCGCGCGGTAGACGAGGTGTGGCTGCTGCTCGCCGAACAGGGCCGCCGCCAGCTCGAGCCACTGGCCGGCGCTCAGATCGTCCTGCGACAAGAGAGTTTGGCCCACCACCAAAAGCTCTTCCTCCACGTTGTCAATCAGGCCCCGGCTGGCTTGGCTCCGGAGGTCTCTGGTCTGCCTGGCGTATTGTTGGATGAGCCGCATTCTGCGGAAGAGCTGGTCCTCGGCGGCGCGCTCTTCTTGGGTCGGGCCTGTTGGGGTGGGAAATGGCTCGTAGAGCATTGTGTCGTTCATGGTGGCGGTGGTGTTGGAGGCCAACTCGTCTGTTCTTGGTGGTGGCTGGCTTGGTCTGGTGTTTGCTGGTTGTGTTTGGCGGCAGCTGGCTTGGGCTGGTGTCTGCTGGCTGGTGGGTGGTTGTCTTGGCTTTCTTTCTAATGTGTGTTTCTGGTTGTTGTGTGAAGAAGATGTGATGGGTGTGCTGCCAATGTATCGAGTTTGATGGATATATTATGATTGCGTAGTGGAGCATGTTTGTCAAAAAGAAAATGGCCAGAAACCGCGGGACCTGGCCTCCCTAAATACTATTCCTGGTAGCAAGCCTTGCCCCGAGCGCGGCCTTTCTCCAGTAGGGCCCTTTCTCCGGAAGAGCTTGTTGGGAAGCACTGGGAGTAGGTTTTTATCCAGCCTCCCTGTTTTCCATTCATACTTTCTCTCCCTATTCTTCTCTCTTATTCAACGTTGCCATTGTCCTTGCTATTCTCCACTCCTATTGTGCATTCCTCGCCATTCTGCAGAAAGTATTCAGGCCAACCTTATTTTTATTTTATGCTTCAAACCTTACTCCCTACAGAGGCCCAGACGCCACATGGGATGAAAAGCCGCCCGGAGACGGGAGTTAATGCCATCCTTCTAACGGTTTCTTCAACCGAAAAAGACTCAAAATGGCCACTATTTGCCACGCGGTAACATCTACTTTGACTTGAGCTCAAGCCACCGGGTGACGTCACCCCTTATAGTTCCGGCATGCTCTGATCATAGTCTTTGGTCTGAGCCGGAGCCCGAGGTGGCAACCAACAGGTTGGAGCTTCCGCTGGACAGTGTTCCTGGAGCCGAGCGCCAAGACGAAGCGTGTGGCTTTGTCTAACGATAGACCTGACGACGGCCTAGCGATGTACCTGATGAGGCGCCTGGCGTGGCCTATGGTGTGGCACCGACTCAGCGGTCCGGATGGCACGCTCACAGCCCTTTGAGAACCTGAAGAGGTACTTTGGCGATGTCCTTTCTGGGTGGGAGCCCCCGTATTGGATCCGCGTCGACGGACTCCCCAGCAATGCCGACTTGCCCTCTTTGTAAATCGAAGACGGCAAAACGAGGTCCTCGCAGTACGTACCCATGCCATGAACCCAGCACACCATCATAGGAGGGCACTTGAGACGGAGAGCATTGATACGAGTGGAGCTTCGAGATCGTGCAGCACGGCGGCGACACCGAGACGCTCTGGCCCAGCATGCGGCTGATAAAGGCGGCCAAGCTCTGCAGGCTCGACAGCAACCTCACGGGCATCGACAAATCCAAGCTGGTCACCGTGAAAACGGACGGCCGCTACCACCTGTTCGGCAGGAAAAGGCACCGGGCCTGCCGATTCGAGATCGCCGTTGTCGTCGCTCCTGCGGACCTCAAGTTCGAGACCCAGGTCAAAGGCGAGCGCTTCTCGAAAAAACCACAAGTCGCTGACGGTGAAGTGTGATGCCGAAGGGGCTGCGAGCGGCTCGACATGGGATAGCTGTGGAAGGAGACATGCACGACATGGATACAAGACAGCGGGACTAGGCAGGTCGTTACACATAATACATTACTAAATAAAATAAATAATCAGAGCAGGTCCTGGTCAACTGGGCGTTGTGCGCGGCAGAAAGGCCCCCGCGACAAGCAGCTGTGTGATGAATAGCAAAAGCGGATGCCGTTCCACATACGATGCTACCCCGTCTCGTGGAGCCTGGCCCTCGTTTGGCTTGCATAGGGGCTGCATATCCCAACGACACCATCACGCGGGGCGATGGCGTGCGAGGCTGCGCCCCCCCACGCTGTGTCTACCTCGCCGCCTGTGATGCAACTGCCGAGTTTCCAACAACACGGCCGGCCATGCCCCTTCACACCCAATCGTCCCAGGTCGTCCCCCTCCGATAGACCGCCCCCTCCGTCTCGAACATGGGGCCCTCGGACGCGAGTATCTGCCCTGCCTCGCAGCGCGAGAACGCGACCTTCGTCTGCTCCTTGCCGTAAAAGTCGTCAAACCCGGGGTCCAGCGCGTCAGCGAGCGTGGCCACGTCTCCCGCGGGGTGCAGCGCCTCCCACGGCCGCACGCAAGTCTTGCCCTTGCACGACTTGAGCACCAGGAGGAGGGCGTCGAGGCGCGGGGCCAGCCTGGCCAGGTCGACGCCTGCGACGGTCGGGCCGGTGCCGGTGTCGGTGCCGTTCGCGAGGAGGTTGTTGATCTGGTACGGGTCGGCCGCGAGGTCGTACAGCTCGTGCTCGCCGCTGCACCAGACCGAGTAGTACAGGTTATAGGACTGCGCCACGACCCTCACGGCCTTGTACGTGTTTTTGGCCCCGCTCGGGCCCTTGGTCTCGCCAAAGTCGAAGTGGTTGTCGCCCTCGGCGATGCCGGCGCCCCCCCAAAACTCGACCGTAACGTGCTCGTGGCGGGGTTGCGCCGCCGTCGTGTTCTGGGTGGGCGACGTCAGAGGGATGGCCTCGCCGTCAAAGTCGTCCCGGAGAGGCGCGCCGGCCAGGGTGAGTATTGTCGGGGCCAGGTCCGCGTGGACCGTGACCAGAGAATCTTGGACGAGGCCCGCTGCGATACCGGGTCCGCGGACGAGGAGGGGCACATTGATGTCCTCCTCGAACCCGCACGTCTTCCCCGGCTGGAGGCGGTGCTGGCTGATGTGGAACCCGTTGTCGCTCGTGTAAAACACGTACGTGTTATCCAGCAGGCCGTGCTTCTCCAGCGACGCAAACACATTGTCGACCATCTCGTCCACCGACTGCAGGGCGCGCAGGCGCTGCCTGTAAAAGTGGTCGTTGGCCTCGACGTTTGTATCGTTCAGCTTCTGCAGCCGGCTCACCCAGCTCACGCCCGAGGGGGCGTCCGGGTTGAAGTTTGCGGTCCGGGGCACTTTTACGTCCGCAAAGAGGTTCTCGTGCCGTTTTGCCGCCACGGGGGCGCTGATCGCGGCCTTGCCGTTGCCCCTGTCGCTGGCTACGTCGCTGTGCGGAGCTATGGGCGCCAGGCCGATGAAGAAGGGCCGGCCGCCGTTCTCGGGCTTGAGGGACTCGGCGGCGTCGTCGATGAAGCCGAGCGCCTTGGACGCCAGGACGTCGGGCGAGTACTGCCCCTCGTACGAGCGGGGCGGGTCCTGGTCTCGCTGGAACGTGGTGTTGAGGTACCTGTACGTGTACGGGTCCAGCTGGAAGTCGGAGTGGTTCCAGCCCCTGGGGAACGGCTTGTTGTAGTTGTCGATGCTGTGGGCGTTGAAGAGCTTGCCAGTATAGTACGTGTTATAGCCCGCCTCCTGCAGCCATACGGGCAGGTACTTGTCGTTGAGCCCCTGGGTGAGGAATTTCGGGTAGCCGCCGTAGGGAGGGCTGACGTTAGTCACGTTTGTGTTGTGCGCCAGCTTGCCTGTCCACAGCGACACCCGAGAGGGGCAGCAGATGGCGGTCGTGCAGTAGTGCCGCGTATACGTCGTGCCCGCGTCGGCGAGGTGCTTCTTGATGAGCGGCAGGTAGTCCAGCGAGCCCAGCCGCTGGTCCTGGTCGTCGGTTAAGATGAAGACGATGTTGGGCCGTTCGGCGGCTCCGCGCCCGGTGACGACGGGCCCGAGGGGCTCCAGGGCCGGGACACCATTGCCGGTGCTGACAAAGTTCGCGGACTTGGCGCCGGGGGCGACGGCTGCCAGGAGTAGTAGAAGTAGCGCTGAACCCGTGGATGACATCCTTGACACTTGTCAATGCTGGGCTGCCAAGAGACCAAGCTAGCTCGGTGTGCCGTCCCTGGCGGCGAGCTTATATACGCATTTGCTCATTGTGAGCCATATATCTTCGTCAACTAAGTCCTGCTCTAGGGGGTGTAGCGTTGGTAATGACCTGGTTGGGCCGGTGTAAAGCCGGGATTGGGAGCTTTTGGCGGTCAATGGCGCAATCGGAGGAGAAATGGGTCGCCATCACGAACAGCAAGGCCAGGGAGGTGGCCCACGGGGTAGCATCAGCGGAGGGGTATCCGGCGAGGATCAGAGGCGTTCCTATTGTAATTCCAACCCGGCGGGCGTTATATGCCGGATAGTGCTGACTAGTGTCACCGACTTTTCAAGGGAAAATGATGAATTTCTTCTCAAGAACCTGCATGGCCCCATCTCGTTGTCGGCTTGACCCCGGTAGCATTGGGCCTGACCCGCACGTCCCGCACGTCCCGCTGGACCTGGTGGTAACGGCCGGCAAAAGTGCGCGCAGGCAAGAGTTATCTTGGATATGGTACAATACAAGCCGATACGCAACCGGCATGAACCTGGAACATGCCACGCCTCGCATTGATCTCATCTACAAAACACAGGACGAGATAAACCCGAAAGAAAAGCGGTGGACGACCAAACAAATGAGAAGGCACTAGCCACTTATACATGTCGACACTATGGAAGACCAGCTGCCTGTCTGCCTGGCATGTAAAGCGACACATGGTTCAATCTCGCACCAGCCATGAAAACCAACGCAACTAACAAAGACACAAGTTCGAGCCTTCAAGGCCGACCTAGCGATCCTTGCATCTAGCCGCCGTGGCCCTAACCTCGCCCTGCTGCGGCATCATCTCTGCCAGCCTCTGCTGCCTCTCCTGTTCCTGCTCCTGCCGCTGCGCGCCCGGCTCCTGTTCCCGGAACGGCGCGATGTCGTGGCTGATGGGGTCACCGCCGCGAGCCGCACCACCTCCGGGCTGTCCTCACTACTGCTGCTTTCCGTACGATGACGACGACTGAGGCGCCAGGCTGATACCCAATCCAGACGGTAGCTGCTGCGGCGGCGGCGGCGTCGGGCACCATCCGGGCGTTAGGACGGGCGGGAGGATGGACGACGGCGTGCCGCCGCCGCCGCCACCACCACCTCCTCCTCGTCCGGCTTCTGCCTGCCGTCGTCGCCGTTCCGTCGCCTCCTTCCGCCCCTCCACCCTTGCCCGTCTTGCGCAGCCAGAGCGCGGCGAGGGCGACGACGAAGAGCACGACGCCGACGGCGATGGTGGCCGAGACGCCGGGGCTGACGGAGCTGGCAGTGCCGGTGTCACAAAGGAGGCTATCACCAAGGGCCGGCACACTGTTCCAGGCCTTGGCATGGAGGATCTGCACGGGCGCCCGGCACGGATGCCCCGCACCGGTGCTGCGGCGGGCAGATGCTTTGCCAAGCACTCGTCGGCAACAACAGGGGTGCGGCAGTGGGTACCGCGCCTGCAAGAAAGGGGTATCATTGTAGATAAAGGGCACGAGGCCCCAGCCGCGTGCCCTCTTCTTCCTTTCTCATCAGAGATCTAGATAAGCCTACAATAGGCCCTATCTTGCACCGCTTGTCCATCATAGCAGTTATTGGTTGAAGGGCGACAAGGCCACAGCCGCATGGACTGTGAATGGGGGCCGTCGCTGCAGCTGGTGGTTGAAGGGCGACAAGGCCACAGCCGCATGGGCTGTGTGAGTGGGGGCCGTTGCTGCAGTTGAAGGGTTCAACAGAGAAGCTTCTTGACCTCAGTGTCCTCATCTTCGTCCGACCGGTCGCGAATGTAGGTGCGGAAGATGGTCAGGTTGGCGGCCTGGAAGCTCAGACCAGGCTATAGGCGCATCATCTCGCGGAACTAGGTGACCTCGTCGGGCAGTGAGAGCCAGTGCATGGTCGGAACGATATTGAAGGCGGCGGCGAAGCAACCCATGATGTGCAGGCTGCGCCGGTCCGTGCGGGTGGGTGGAGGGCGTCCGGGCAAAATGGGGGCAGGAGCAGGATGTACTGTGAGGGGGAGCCATTGTTGCAGTCGAAGAGAAGTTGGCAAGGTCGCTGCCATGGACTGTGCGTGTGGACCGTGTTGTTGAACATGGAATCGCAGCCGCATGGGTAGTGAGTAAGGGCCACTGGTTTCGTTGATGAAAGGTCGCAGCTGTATGCATCGACTGTGAATGGACCGGATCCGGAGGCAGGGCGCCGTTTTTGGCAAGCCGTGTCGCCCCGTCATGGGCTCCGTCTCGTGGTCGTTCTCGGCCAGCGCCTTGGCCTCGTCCACGGCCAAGTTGCTGTCGATCAGCGGACGGTACGGGACTCTGCGGGCCTCTTGAGGATCCACATCATCTGCAACCAAGTCAGTAACTGCCACGACAAGGGCTTGCCTTGGTCAGATGGGAGAGAAAAGGGCTCATGTGAACAAACAGGAAGTAAGGAAGAGAGAAAGCAAAGGGGCCAAACTCACACTCCAAGTCACTCTTCAAACTGCCCTTAGGCAGACAACCTGAGCGTCAGACGAGCTCAGAGGGGCTGGATCGCTCGGAGCTGAGAAGATTGGCGAAAAGACACGGCCGATAGTGGAGCTTGTAATTGCAGTGTACCGGTGTCTGATGCCGTCGCTCAGGATGACAGACTGCGTCAGGGCCGAGTAGAGCTGGCGGGGAACTCGGGGGCGACGCAAGTAGCATGTCTTGACGTCGGAGGAGTCTGCCAGCAGCACAGGGAAACCCAAACTCGACCCGAAGGCCGATAGACTGTGAATGGGGGCCCTCGGCCGGCCCACCATCGCTTCGGGCAGTGGGTGCCGAGGATTGTCAACGATCAACGCCGGTGTATCGTGAGGAAGACTTACCGAGCCGGCAACAGGAACTGGTATGGGATTTGAGCCCTTACGCCTGCAGGTCGGGGTCCTGGCCTAGAACCGCTGCGGTTATCCACCGGGAACCCATCACTTTCAGCAGCAGCCACTTGGCGAACTTGGCGAAGAGGAGGAAGCGGAATGACCCAACTCCCTGCCTCAACGACCAAGTAAACGCTCGCCTCGAAAGGTCGAGCGCCCAGCGGGTTGCTGCTGATCGAACTGGTGGCGGGGCTCTCAGGATCGCCCAGCCGACAGGCCCTAATCGAGCCCAGTCCTGTGCCGGGTCTCGGTCGATACACCGGCGGACCATGCCCCAGAGGAAACCCTTGGCGACATCCTAGAAGCAGATTAGCTAAGACATCAGGTGTGCATCGCAGATCGGTAAAATGCCGAGGCCGTGTGATTGGAACTTACCATAACGATGACGAAAAAGAAATAGCAGAGATGGCGAGAGTATCCAAAAAGAGAGGTTAGGTAGTACAAGATTGATGTTGTAGATTGCCAGGGTCCCTAAGGGAAAAAAGAAGAGAAGAAGAAGAGCCAGAATCTCGAGCATGAACTTCTTAATAAATGGCGGGCGGCGGTGCTGCCCATCCTGGTCCAGCTCTTCCTTCCTTCCTTTCCAAAAAGCGTCCAGAACCCGCGTCTGGCGTGGAAGTAGCGAACATGATCACTGGCGTCATTGCGAACCGCTTCGTATCCATCCCGCACCTCAAATGGCAGGGACGATGCATTTCGACCAAAAATGGGCTGCAGCTTGGGGCCACCAGAGGAGACATGCCAGATAGTCGGTAGGAAGACGGTCCCTACCCCTGAGCGTCCACGCCTATATAGCGCCAACACAAACAACCACGAGCGGGGATATCAGAGAGGAACATGACAGCCATCGGAAAATGTACAATACGCTGTTACGACGGCCCCTTACCAGGTCAGGTGTGCTGCGTCGCGTGCATTCATCGTGCCCGCCGCGGCTCTCCGGCTGAACATCACTAGCGCCCGGCGGTTCGGGTAGACCGCTAGCAGACGAAGCACCGCAGGAGAAGACGGCCCTAGACTTGAGGAGACTCTGGGGAGGATCTCCGATGACAAGAGTTTGCGGAGATGTCGTAGGTGCCTGGCCCTGGGCGGGTACATTGGGGTTTAGTTTGGCACCTAGGCAAACGCCACCATGCACCATGGAAGGTACCTACCCGCGTACCAAAGTCTGCAGGTGCCACAAGCCATAGTTCCTGGTCATGCAGGCGCGTCGGCAGAAAATAGTTGAGCCAGCGCTTCTGCTATGGTCTCTCCCCGCAGCCTTTTCCGTGTCCTTTTCTGGTATTCTTCCCTTTTACCTCATCCTATGTAATAGTATCTTGCAGTCATATTTACTTCTGGTGCTCCAAGCCCCCGCTACCGAACGAACAGTCTCGACTTTTTTTTGTCGACGCCCGTGCCGGGCACGTCTGTGGCTGCACCACCCATGCCGACCTTTTCCGGTAGAAGCTCCTGCCTGTATTGATAAATCTCGACGGCCCTTCTGGTCGCGACTCCCACCTACCCACAACCCACGCACCATCTTACGACGCATCAACCTCCGACCGTCCCAATTGGCCTAAACCTCAATCGTCGCGCCTTTCCCTTCTCGTGTGCCCTTCGATCAGAAATGGTGAGGACCCGGCAGCACCCAGCATGCGCCCCTACCCGCTAAAACCCGAGCTAACTGACAGACAATCCAGGCAGGCATGCAGTCAGTCATCAACTTTGACCCGAGCCGAGCCGAGCAGATTCTCGGGTTTGCGCTCGCGGCGTACACGGCAGACGCCATCTTACCCCAGCCCGACCCCAACGACCCGCTCTGGGAGACCTTGGTTGGGACAATGCAGCGCCCGCCAGCTCCGCAGGGTTGGTTCGAGGAGATCATGAACTCCGGGCCGATGCGCGAGGTCACAGGCGTCGTCGGCATTGTCCTGCCCGCGGCCATCTGCTGGGCCTTCCATTCTCCCGAGACCAAAAAGAAGACGGCCGCCTTCCTCAAGCGGCACTACAACCGTCTCGTCTCGTGGGACTCGGCAGTGGGGCTCGTCTCGACCCTGCTCCCCCAGCTGGCTCTCGTGACCGTGGGAGGGTGCCTCTCCCTGTGCTGGACAGGGGACACCGCCGCGCTGAAGGGCCTCGGAGAGGCGTTCTCGTGCTGGACGGTGTCGACCATAGTGTATCACTGCATATACTGGCACCCGGACGCCACCACCGCCATGGCCCCCAAAGACGACTGCAGCAAGAACGCCACCCGCCGTCGCACTATGCCCTCCAGCGCGCTAGCCCTGGGCCTCCGCGCCGTGGGCAGGCATGATGCCGGGTGCCACGGCCGCTTCGGCATGTTTTTCGACATCAGCGCCGGTAGGCCGTTCTTCAATGCGCTAGCCTCTTGCTTATTTGGGGGTATGGAGGCCAGCTTCCTCGGCTACTTTGCCGGCTCCTATATTGCTGCCGATGCCGCTATGCGCCTGGAGCCGGCCATTCATGGATATTTGGGCACGCTGTCCAGCAGGGCTGGAGACCCATAGTCCGGAGGGACTGTGGTGGACGAGTCTGCGACCGTGGAGTCGGCTGAGGGCACATAGAATCTTGCTACATTGCGCGGCGTTTTAATATTTGAACTCTCCATCCCACTCCATCCAGCCTCATCTCTAGTCATAATCACTTCAATCTCGCGAAGAGCATTATGGGTTGGGTCGACGAGGCATCACGTTTACCTCGCAGACTTCTGGATGTTGGAACGGACGAAATGAATCGATGGTTGGGTCCGCTAGCCTTCGTTCGATCGTGCCAGACGGTTGCTGTAGAGAAGGGTTAAGTGCTCATAATAGGGGGAATATGACGCAGATGAAAAGGCAATTGTTATGTTTTCTTAGTGCGGCTCATAACCTCAACCACGACGGCGATCTGGCATTGTCGCTGACCAACCACGCCCTAACACCGATTTTTGCCATATTGAGTTTTGTCGGAGGAATAAATAGCGATAATGTCACAAAAAAGACAGTATATACTGTAAAGGAGAGGTCTCAAGCGTAAATAGCAGATGCCTGAAGCATCGGAAGAGCGGTCCCTCTGCCTGAGAGCGTATGACGCTTCCAGGCATTAGGAGGGAAGCTTAGTAAGCAAGGAGGACACGGGAGTTACGTGTATATAAAAGGGCAAAAGCTTTTACGGAGCCTTGCACCTTAAATCCTTTTTTTAAAGCAATTTAACCGGAATAGCTTTACACCGTGCTTATACCTTTTGCTTGCAATAGTTATAAGCCCAGGCGATTTTTAAACCTTTTTTTGCAAAGTAAAAGGTTTAATAGCACGAACTTATTCCTTTTTTACTACCTTTATTAAATCGCTTTTAAACGCGCTTTTCCAAGCGCGTTTATCTTTTTTTTCCCCTTTTTTTCCGCGATTTTTTTACGGAAAAATTTTTACGCTTTTAAAACCTTTTTCGATAAAGTTTTTTTTGCTAAAGCAAATTTCGTTATTAATTCCGAACGTTATTAAGGGCCTTTATTAAATTTTATTTTTTTAATTTACACGTTTTTACGTTTCCAAAGCTTTTAACCCGTTACTTTTTTCCGATTTGGCTTTACCGAAAAGCCCCAGGCTGCTATTAATTATAAGCGGCATAAATAAAAATCTTTTTGTAATAACGTTATTTAAAAACCAAAAGCAATAGCTTACGTAATTTACGGCGTTTTATTAAAATGCATTAATTTTAAAAATTTAAACCCAGGTTAATTTTAATTTAAAATTTCCGGATAACGTACAAGCTAATAAAACTTTAAATTTTAATTTTTTTATAGCAAAAGCCCGGGCCAAGCACGTTAAAAATTATAAATTTAAGCGTTTAACTTAGCAAATAATTTTTTTAACCGGAAAAAAAAGGGTTGTTTAAAAGCTTAGCAAAGCAAAAGCAAAGCTACGCAAAAATTTAATTCCGAACCTTTTTAAACCCTTTTTATTTTTACCAAAAATAATTTTAAAGCCAAATATAAAAAAGCGCTTAAAATAAAGGATACCGCGAGCAAACCCGTTTTAAAAAAATTATAACGCTTTTTAAATGGATTAACTTTTTTGTAAATTTTATTGCGCTTACAAACGCGCAATTAAAAGCGCAACCCAATAATTACGTAATTTTCCAAAGCATTATTATTGCAAGCAAAAGGTATAAGCACGGTATAAAGCTATTTTAGTTAAATTGCTTTAAAGAAAAAAGGATTTAAAGTGCAAAGTTCCGTAAAAGCTTTTGCCTTTTATATATACGTAATTTACGTATTTTCCTTGCTTACTAAGCTTTTTTCCTAATGCCTGGATGCGTTATACGCTTTCAGGCAAAGGGACCGCTTTTTCGATGCTTTAAGCATTTGCTATTTACGCTTAAAACCTTTCCTTTACAGTATATACCGTTTTTTTTGTAATAACAAATTACCCGTAAAAACGGCTTTGGATAAATTAAATTAATTTTGTTTTTGCTTTTTTTCGCCCGCTTTACGCTTTTAAATATTAAAGGAATAAACGGGCACGTTATTACTATCGTTATTTTAATTAAACGGATTAACAAAATTGTTAAAATCCAAATTAATTATAATTGCATTACAATTTGGCTAAACAAATTAAAAGCTTTTTTTTATCCATTTTAAACGTTTAAAATTTCGAACGGATTGGGTTAACGGAAAAAGCAAAAGGTTTTAAAAATAACAAAAAAATTTAAAATGGAAAAAATAGCTAGCGTTAAAACGGGAAAAGCGGTTAAATTTAAGTTAAAACCGGAAAAAAGGATTGGTAAATGTTAACTAAGGCTTAAAAAAAGCAAAACGCAACATTTTTATCCGCTTAGCGTACAAAAGGATTTGTACGGTTTTAGCGTGCTGAAAAGCCTTTGCCTTTTTAGCGTTATTTTATACCTTTTTGCAATTAACCGCTAACTTTTTCGCACTTTTAATGTTTTTTTTTAGTTTGCTTTTTTAAACAAATTTTTTTTTGCATGTTTAATTTGTTTAGTTTTAATAGCAAAAATTATTATAACCGTTTGCAAATCCGTATTATTCGCGCATAAAGCAAAATTAATAAAAGCGCAATAAAAAGTGGTAAAAAAGCAAAACGTTTCGATTTATTCCTTTTGGGTTTAAACCCGCGTTTTTTTTTGCGCCGGGCGCGTTTTTAAGCAACCGCACGCAATGTTTTATTATTAAAAGTTTTTATTTTTAACCAATTTGTTATTACCGCACAACGCTTTTAAAATACCTCATTACCGCGCAAAGCATTTACAATTGCTTAATTTAAATTTGCAAATATTTTAAAGCTAATAAAAAATTAATATGGTTAAAACGAAAGGATTAAAATTTACGCTTTAAAAAGGAAATGGTAATAAAAAGGAAAAAAAAGCCGGAACAAAATGGAAGGAAAAGGGTTTTAACCCGTTACGTTTACTTATGGTTAAAGCGTTTGTTTTGTTATTTTTTATAGCTAAAGCGTTTGTTTCGTTACTTTTAAGAACGGGAAATACTTTTTTCGTTACCTTTTAAAGTTAATAATACTTTATTATTATTTTTAAAAGCGCGGTAAATTTTTAAAACCAACGTTATTAATATAGTAACTAATTGTTTTTTGTTTTTTTACAAATAACCCAAAAGGTTTGCTTGGGGGGTATATTCCAAAAAAACAGTATATATTGTAAAGGAAAGGTTTTAAACGTAAATAGCAAATGCTTAAAGCATTGGAAAAGCGGTTTTTTTTGCTTAAAAGCGTATAACGCTTTTAAGCATTAAAAAGGAAGCTTAGTAAGCAAAAAAGATACGGGAATTACGTGTATATAAAAGGCAAAAGCTTCTACGGAGCTTTGCACTTTAAATCCTTTCCTTTTTAAAGCAATTTAACTGGAATAGCTTTACACCGTGCTTATACCTTTTACCTGCAACAATAACCTTTTTAAATTTGGGACAATTTAATTCCATATTCGCTAATACTTTATATTAGTTATTAAAGCTAACCTTAAGCTTTTAAATAAAGCACTTTCATTTGCCGGCCGTACGGGCCGGGCCATTAAAGGTTAGCGAATCCCCCGGGTTTATTACAGCGGCCCCAGCGGCGGTAACCGCAACGGCGGGAACGGTAACGGCGGCAGGGGGAACGGGGGAAGCGGTGTATCCAATGCCGGCTGCGGGTCCCGCGGTAATAGCGGTAGCAGCGGCAGTAGCAATAGCGGCGGCGACTGGAGCAGGAACGGCAACGGCGGCGGCGGCGGCGAAAGCGGCGGTTTCCGCCGCCTTTATCGCCGCTTGGTATGCTTGTGCGCTTAGCTTTTTAATAGCACCTTTTTTTTATTAATTAAATGTTTTAGCATTCCGTTAACCCGTATAAGCTTTACGAGGCAATTTGGGTGGTTAGTTAAATACGGGCCAAAACAATTCGCGCATTGCGGGGGGGGAGGGGGGGGGGGGGGGGGGGGCCGTGCACGGTAATGCGTGCCGGGAATCGTTTAATTTCCCGCAACGGAAGCATTTATTAGCCCGGGCATAATTGCGGGTTACGTAAAAGCCGTAGCAATTAAAGGTATGTTGGGTAATTGGGGGGTGTTTTTGTACGCGGCGTAAAAAGAACGTTATCCTTTAAAGTTTAAATTGGGCTATTTATATATGGAAGGAAATTATTTACGAAAATTGCCTTTGTTCGTTTATACCAGCTTTAAAAACCTTTACGCTTACAAGCTTGGTTTTTATTTAGGCTTTAACCTTTTTTTAAACCAAATTTTCCTTTATTAAGACTTTTTCACCGAATTCGTTCGCTAAAATAGTAAGCACCCGGAAATAATATAATTGTATTAAAATTCCGGTTTTTTAACCCGTTCGGCGTTATAAAAGCGGCTTTATTCCAAGCGGTGCTGGAAAAGCCGGTTTTGTATATCGGTTGTTTTTGTGCTATAATAAACGGGAAGTCCTTATTGTTAGCAAAAGCTTTGCGAATGCTAAAGCCCGTTTATTGGTTAGCCTAAACCTGCCTTTTTTCCGGGATTTTAATAAGGACCCGGAAATTAAGTTTAAAGCCGGCGGGTGGGCGGGGCGCTTGGGGTGCCCAAGGTGCGGGTTGCTGGAATTGTTGGAACCCCGTGCGGGCCGCCGCCGCGTAAGTAGTTGGGGCCGCGTTATTAATGGGTTCGAGCGCTGCGGGGGCTTTTCCATTCCCCCGGAAAGGGGCTAGCTGGCTTAATAGCGCTTTTATTGCGTACTTTAAAAAGCAAATTTTCCAGCCGTACGCTTCCCGCGCAGCTTTGGGCGGTAATAAAGCGATGCCGGCATTTATTAACCTAACAAGCGTAATACAAATTATGGCCGTTTGGCTTTATTTGCGCGTAAAGCTCGCGATTATTTTTTCCGCGGCCGCTATAACTAACCCGGGGGTCGGGCCCATAAGCCGGAAGGGAAGGGTTAAGCGCCGTGGCGCGTATAAGGCTTAAAAAGGAGGTTGGGAAAAGGAAAGGGGAATGGCGTTATTAAGGTATGTGGTAAACGGGGGAAGGAAAGGGGCACCTGTGCCGGTGCTTGCGCTGAGGGATCCTTTTTGGCCTTGTGCGGGTTTTATTGCGTATTGCGAATTTCGCAACGGGGACGGCGTGCGTATGTTTGGATGCGCTAAAATGCGCGGGGGTCGGGGCAGCGGCGGCGCGCTCCTCCGGGCCGAAGGGCTTATAAAAAGGGCGTGCGCCACCCTGAAGGGGGCCGTTGGCAACGGCATGTTGGCGGGCGTGGTGTTGGTGTTGAATCGCTTAATTGGCAAGTGTTAAGGATTTGTGTGCAAATTGGCAGTGTGCACTAACAGTACTATGCCAAGAATTAGTGGATTCGAGGAAGGATGCATGCTTTTATGAGCCGAGGCTGCAGAAAGCGTTACCTTCATCACATTGCACTTTAAGCTTAAAACTGTGGTATTACGCTCGACGGCAGTCGCGAACGGGAAGTAGCTTGCGCCGATTAACCATTGTTAGCAGAGAAGTTACTTGATTTTGGAACATTCAGGAAGCACAATTTCAAAAATAAACGTGCTGCAGGCCTTACGACCCGATTAAGTGCGGATAAACGCACGGGGTCCCTTTGGCAACACAGCGGTGGCGTTTCCCTGCCGCACTTGCGCTTCGACTTGGCGCATGCGTCACACGCCTTCATTTCGTTGGTCGGGATCTCCTTCCGGTTTCCGCAAACCAGTGTAGCATGCCTTCTTTGTTGGCTGGGTAGTGTGCCGCCAGCGACTGGCAAACTTGCCGGCCCCTCCGGGACTGGCGGGCGGAACTTTTCGAGAACGGTCAGACCGCTCGCGGGTGGGTGAGACGCTGCGTTCCACCGCTTTGTCATGTGCGGGGTTGCGGAAACCCACGTTATCTCTCTTTTTTTACGTTTGCTTTCCCAGGTACCTCCTATTTTACCACTTTGCCTTCTTTCATATCCCTTTTCTTACTTCCTCTCTTATATCACTTCCTATTTTCATTTCAGTTAGTAATTATTATTCTTTTATATTTTACGTAGGAACAATAATCCGTGAAGGTTTGCCAAATGTGATAACTACATCGATGTGTGCATTCATCTTTGTCCCCTGTCTTGCAGCCTCCCTGGTCGTCGGGGGAAAGCTGCGCAAGAGTCCAGAGCGGTGATTGACTGCATTGTCCCAATTCGGAAAACACGGCAGCGCTTGTCTCGTCTGGACACCATCAGGGTCAGGGCTCCCCCTGGTGAGACTGACTCGACCGAGCCACTTAGGTTACAAATACAACCCAAATTTGCCGTGCCGAAACTGTCAGGGCTGCTCTGTCATCCCTCGGCGGCGGGCAGCTCGGAACTCCCCGCCGCCGCCCGCTCCGATGTCGCCGCCCGCTCCAACGGCTCGCCCGCAAATCTCGCCTTGGCGGGCGACTCGTAATCACCATGAATTTCAGGCAAGCCTCATTGGTGCTCCGGATTCTTCTACATAAAATGCCACCAAACTTCCCTCTCCGCCGTCTTCTTTCACTCGGCTCATTAGGTGCAACTTCTCATCCACTATAGCCTCACAGCTTTCAACACCTTCGGAAACTCCAACGCACCTTGCACCGCCCCAGGCTTACCTTCCATTTTTACGATCATAGAATAGCCTCCCCCCCCGATCTCAACCATGTCTCTCGACGCACTTAGGGCTGAGCTTACCTTAACCCAGAACACCGACGTTACCAAGACCGTCCATACTGCGTCGTACCCTGCGATCTCCTCGCTCCGTCCGGAGCTCAGCCAGGAGGGGAGGACCGTGCTCATCACCGGTGGCGGCAGCGGCTGCGGGCTGGCCATCGCCAAAGCCTTCGTGGCCGCCAGGGCCGCACGGGTCGTCATCCTCGGCCGCCGCGAGGGCGTCTTGTCCTCTGCCCACAAAGAGCTCGAGGACGAGGCCCGCAGGCTGTCGTCCCCCGCCGTCATCGTCCATAGGATCTTCGACGTGACCAACGAGGACGACGTCGAGAAACTGTGGGCCGACGCCGTGGTCGGGTTCGTCGACGTCTTCGTGTCCAATGCGGCCAGGTTCCAGACCGAGGCGAAGCCCCTGGTCGAACTGGGGTACAAAGAGGTTTGGTCCAGCTTCGAGGCCAACGTTAAGGGCCCGCTTCACATGGCCGAGAAGTTCCAGAAGCAGAAGGCGCCAGCGGGAAAGCAGAATGCTCCCAAGGTAAGCGCAAGCCACTTGTTGATTGAGAAAGTCTTGGCGGCCCGTGCTGACCCTGGATGCCCGTCAGTCCCTCGTCAATGTCTCGACCGCAGCCATCCACATGTTTAACAAGTCCGTCAGCACCTTTTCCGTGTCGGTGCCCTCGTACGGCCTGAGCAAGAACGCGGGCACGCTGGCGCTGCAGCTGGTGGCGGACGACGTCGACCCGGCCCAGCTGCAGGTCGTCAGCTTCCACCCGGGCACCGTCCACACCGAGGTTTACCAGAGGGACATCGGTGCGGGCCCGCGCGACCTGCCCTTCGACGACGCCGAGCTGTCCGGCTCCTTTGCCGTCTGGGCCGCGTCCCCCGAGGCCCGCTTCCTGCACGGCCGCTTCGTTTGGGCCTCCTGGGACGTCGAGGAGCTCGCGACGGGGCCTGTCAGGAAGCGCATGGAGGAGGACCATGACTTCCTCAGGGTCGGTGTGGTTGGGCTCAAGTTCAACAAGCTGGCGTAAGTGCCACCGTGCTTTTGAGCATCAAACCGAGCCATCTGCTTAACGCCCCGCGGAGCAAGGTCGCACCGACTCTGTTTGCCAGGATCGGAGCTAAAAAGGGTCATCTAAACTGTCCGTTTAATGCCTGGCTGAGACGTGCGTTGACAAGGCTGCTGTGGTTGCTATATTCGAGCATTTTACAGATGCTGCACCATAGTTTGCGGGTTTGCGGTTTTCTCCGTGGCCGTGAACCCATCGCGCGTGTATATATCCCGTCAAACGCTAGCTCCTGCTGCTGCGGCACCAGACCTGATTTAAAATAGTTCATATCATCAGGTAGGGAGTGGCATCTCTTGGGGTGTTCTGATAGGCAGGTGTAATACCGTATAAAAAATGAGCGTTAGCGCTTTTCGTGGGATGACGTCCGTGAAGTGGTTTGAATTAGAGGGTGGAGGCGTCTGGTCGGCGTCGACGGATACGACAGTCAGTGCTAACGCGTTCGAGGGGGAATTGAAGCATTCACAAGATTGTGACAGCACAGAGAAGGAGGAGGCTAAAGTTTGCAAACGAGGAAGTGAAGGCGGCGGAGACACTGGATACGAGGTGGGCGCGTAAACCCAAATAAGGGTAACGAATTGCGAATTCCTCCTCTTCCTCCTCTTCCTCCTCTTCCTCCTCTTCCTCCTCTTCCTCCTCTTCCTTCCAGGACTCCTCCACGTCGAAAATACCGATCCTTCGAAACTGGCAGTAACACCAGTCCTCTAACCTGAAGATCGCCGAGGGGGTAAATCTGGCCTCGAATGGAGCGAAGTAAACTTTGACGGACTGTGCCATATTTTGCATATCCTCTTCGTCCCATTGAACCGTCGTTTTTAACTTGGTCAAAATCGTAGGGTCGCCCAGTTCCTCTGGTTCCTCTTCCTTTTGCTGTTGCCCGGGAAAGAAATCGATCTCCCATTTGTGTTTCGACGTTTCGGCAAGCATTGCCTTCGCCAAAGGCCCCCGCAATCGTATTGTGCCGCCAGTAACAGAGCCAAAGGGCTGTGGTGATGATGCCAGGTTCATGTCGACTCCAAGAATGTCCACCAGTCCCTCACAGGTTTGGAGGATGGTCATCCGAGCACCACCCTCTAATGAAGCCCAGGACTAGGAGGGAGCGGTATTTTGTGTTCTCCGCATAGAGGGCCGATCGGCGGACCAAAGAAGGGCGCTGCGGAGCCTATATGCCCACATTCCAGCGAAATGGTTCTCTCCACCCCAAATTCTGCCCAAGTCCTCTGCTAAGCCTGCAATGGCAACAAGCTTATCCGCTGGGTTGGTTAACTTCTTTGGGGAATATGCTTCAACCAATCTCGTCCATGTTTTTAAAAGCTCTGGCTCGGTTTTGGTTTGTAGCCCTTTCATTTCCAATCAAAGGGCAAGGCCCTGGCCTCTTTTTATATTGTGGCGTTCTGGTTTCGCTCGGGAGATAAGGTACCTACCTACATAGGCTGGGGATCGTGGGAGCGTCCCTTGCCCGACGTCGGGTAGGGTCGCAATCTGTAAGCGGTGCACCCACGTAACATGTCACAAACTGGGCTCCGGGGCAGGACAGCACGGAGGCTACAGGCCGGGCGGGACGCACGGCCACCGGGAAACCGGGGGGGGGGGG